CCACGCAAACAATTGGCCTATTTTACCAACTAAGGTTTCCTCGTTAAAAATCCTGGTGCAATCTCTTTAACTCTACTTGTTTTACTTTTCAGTATTTATATTTGTGATTACGGATGGTTAATTGATCATATAATTTAATCAATCATAAATTGGACAAGTTGACCTAATAATCATATCTAGGTTATTAAAGAAGTTAATCATAATTAAAATCAACTAAAAGCTTCCACATCCCATGTTTAAACTATTTTCACATTGTCTACCTAACTACAATTAACCTAATGGTGTAGTGCAACTCATCAAGACTCATCATAATCCATCAAACTAATTAACAATTATATCCAATAAGAACCATGCATGGCCATCACTAAACACAATTACAAAAATCATTTAGTGTAGAGAATAATCCTCAATTAATCACACATAAGACAACATGCAACCAACATAGAGAATCAATAGAAAGAATTATCAATAAAAACATTGGTACAACCAAGTTTGATTACACAAGACCATAGCCCTAATTACAACATATAATTCCCCAAAAATTGAAAGACAAGAGTTTAATTACACAAGCTTAGGGCTCATCCAAGCCCTAAGTGAAGGACTAGCCACTCATGGAAAATGTAGTTTTCATCAAGGTGTCTTCAAGATCCATCTCGAAGCTTGGGTTCTTCTTCTTCTTCTTCTTCTTCCTTGGTTGAAACCCTAGAGAGAGAGTGTGTGGATCTAGAAGTTCTTCTAAGCTATTCTATTATAAAATGTCTAACCCTTGTAAAGATGGTTCAATCCTATATTTATAGGTGTCCCTTGGAGGTCAAAACAAGTCAGACACGTACCATCTAATGATTTAATCACGCAGCCCCTTGGTCCTTGAAATTAGAGCCTAAAACGAGAAATTAAAATTGCTCTACTTAAGCCACGATCGATCGTGGCTTCCTGCGATCAATTGCATTTTGAATAGGATCGATCGTGATCCATGACGGTTAGGCTTGTTCTTATCTTCACCAAGATCGATTGTGGGAATGTAGGATCAATCATAAAACTTGCAAGATCGATCGTGATCATGAAATTTGCTGATTGGGCTAATCTTCCTCAGGATCAATCGTGGGAATGCAAGATCGATCGTAGAACTCCAATTTTGCAATATCTAGAACTTTCTTCCACCGTATTTGCTTGACTCCAAAAAGACTTTAATGAACTAAAATTAGCCTGTTTGAACCTTATTGACCTAATATCGATAATAAAACAAATTAAGACTAAAACAGGAAGGTAAGGATAGATGAAGGGTCTAATATACCCAAGATTAGGGGCTGAAACATGCATATTTCAGCACTTATTAACTACCAATCCCTGGTTGAAAGGATCACATCTAGAATTGAGAGATGTATCTCTAAATTCTTCTCTTATGCTGGGAGGGAAGTCCTTATCAAGTCCATGTTGTGTTCTATGCAATCATACTGGTCCAGTCTTCTCTGTTACCCAAGAAAGTGTTTGATCAGATTAATCAAATTTTAAGAAGGTTTTACTGGTCTGGTGTGGATCTGAAGAAGAAGGGAGCCAAAGTGGCTTGGGTTGCTATCTGCAGACCTAAAATCTATGGGGGTTTGGGCTTCCCTGACTTGGAAATGTCTAATATTATTGCTTCTCTTAAACACTTAAGGAAGTTATGCATTAGAAATGATAGCCTTTGGGTTGCTTGGACCAATAGGTACCTCATCAAGAGAAGATGTATTTGGACAGTTAAGCCTTCCTCACTATGGTCTGGTTTCTGGAGGAAGCTTTTGAGGCTTAAGGGTATGGTAAGAGGTCTCATTAAGCATAGAGTAGGTGCTGGCACTAGCTTATGGGTTGATTACTGGCTCCCCAATGGTCCTATTGTTTCTCAGCTTGAGCTCATTGAGGTGGGAATTCTTCAACTGGACATTAATGTCACAGTTGATAGCATAATTTCCAATGCTTAGTGGGATATCCTATATGTATAATACAGTTCTCAGGGTTCTTCCAGTCTCAATCATTCACCTCCCAGTTGCAGAGTATCTCACCACCATCTAATTCATAAGATGTAATAGAATGGTTGCCAAGTCCTTCTAAGACTTTCTCAATGTCACACATAATCAGTTACTTCACTCCTCCATCAATCATTTTTTCATGGCCTCAACTGATTTGGTTCAAGCATCATATCCTTAAATAGGGTCCTGTGGCATGGTTGGCAGCTAGAAGTAGGTTTTATACACTCGACTCCAAACCAATACTACACAAACATTACACAAATGTTTGTGACCTGTGTACGTAATTCAGATTGTGAGACTATGGATCACCTTTTTCTTCAAATGCAAGTACAGTTCACACATTTGGAGGTTTTATTTAACTATTCATGTCAAGGCACCCCTCATCTTATGGGACTTGATAATTAGAGCCTTCCTGCAAACAATTATGGCTACAACTAGATGTGAAATAAAACTGATCCATATTCAGTTGTTGGCAATTGAAAAGGTCAAAACAATTCGTTTACATACTTTGATGTTGCGTTAGAGAGTGCCGAATCGATACTTTGAAGTTGGAGAAATTCTATTCAAACTAATTAAATTTCTATCAATTCTAATTTCAAAACGCCGATTTCATGTTTTCAAACACAAATTGAAGATAAATCAATTTTTAACTATGAATATCTGAAGCATGCCCCAATGGAATTGTTGAATAGTTTAAGTTTTGCACAGTGATAGAGGGAATGAAAAAACAAAAACAAAAAACAAAAACAAACATCGCCATCATTTAAAATGTTTAATAATGCATTCGTTTAGCTCGATCAATTTGATTCTAGTAACTGTTTATTATTATTGATTTTCAATAAATTCAATACTTTGTCTAAATTATTCAGTACTGATTATGCCTAGAGATTGCTCGTAATTAGTTTGATAAGTAATATAAATTAAGAGATTGATAGACGGAGATAATTAACAATAGCAATGACAACTAATATTAACTTTCATCAATGTTTTGTTCGAGATGGAGAAATCTTTAGTCGATGTGGGGCTATAGAGTAGCGCGTGAAGACCGAATTCAAGCTAAGGTGGAGATTGTTGAGTTTTATGGCTCGAATTCAGTGTGCTAGTAGTGTTCTGGCATAAGTGAACAGGTTAAGTTATTTGGAACTAGTTCAATTGTGGTGAATGAAGATGAAACAAGTTCAAGTTTTTTTAGAAACAATTCAATTGGGGTTCCTAATCAATTTTGGAAGCTAAAAAACTTGTGCAAAGAAGCTAAAGATTTGGGAAGAAAGTTGTGGTGTATTAGGATGTTATTTTAAAGTTAAATACTGATATGGTAACTCCTTGTAGGTAAGTTGGAGAATTCTTGTCCAACAAGGAATTAAGTTTGGAAACTCTATAAATAAAGATGGATTTAGGTAGAGAGAAAGGGAAAAGATGTAAGAGGATTAAGAGTAAGTATTGTAAAAAGAGATAAGAGTATATGTAATTCCCGAGTATATAGATATATAGCCTAAAAAAAGATGATGAGTAAGTGAGTAAGTTTTAACATATGGTTGTATATTGTCTTCCTTGATTCATAATAGTGAAATCTCTCTCCATGGACGTAGCCCTAGAGTTAGATGAATCATATAAAATGTTGTATTGTACGTAAATGTGTATGATTATTATCTCCATATATACTTGTATGATAATAATACTTTCGTTGTGTGTGATAAAGTGTGGATTTAACTCTCAACGATAGCCAACTATTATTTTAAATAAAAATAATAAATAAATAATAAATAAATAAAAAAAAAAAAAAAGAGCCAGCCCTAGTAACGACCAATCAAGGAATTCCTTTATATTAGTAAAGTTAGTTAACTAAGATGACAAAGTAATTGAAAATGATATTATATTTAAGCTTTTTACTCTGTTAGTCCAAGATCAAGTCAGAGACTACCTCATAGATGAAACATAGGAAGGAAGAAATTGTGTAGAGGGATGATAAGAAGAACTGCACAAACACCTTTAATCGGTAAAAGACGAGAAGAGATCTCTAAAAGTTATAGTAAATCGAACTGCATGGCTCTTTTAGTTGTTCTCTGGAATGTGTAGTTCACACACTCTTTGTGAAGTGTGTGTTTCTCTGGAACATACATAAATGTATGTATATTTAGAGCCCGTTTGGAATTGCGTTTGTAGTATGTAAAAGCACGTTCAATTTGAAAAATACCATTCAGCCACGCGCTTTGAGGAATAGAGGTTAAATAAAAATAATAAAAAATTGTGTTTAGATAAAGCTGGAAATTGGAGTGTTTAAAATTGCGTTTGAGTAGAGTTTGGTATCTATTATTTTTTTTACAATATAACCCTCCTTCATTTTCATAATTACAAGAATATATATATATATATATATATATATATATATATAAAACTATCAGATAATAACGTACAAGTAAATAAAAGTGTTTAGTTGGAATTCTTTCATCGAATAACACATATCTTACATATTGCTAGCCTGATTTCATATCTGATCTCCTTTGAATATTTATAGCCCAATTTTCTATTTTTTACATTATAACTCAATTTTGCATTTAGCTTATAAAGATTCTAAATTGTAAATATTTTGTAAATTACATTTATCTAAAAAATTCTAACTTGAGTTTTTCAAAGACATTTGTAATATCTAAAGATTTTGTATTTATTTATTTGTTAAGAATCCTCTATAAAAGCGTATAAGAGTATTTTTCGAATATTTTTCGAGCTATTAATTAAAGAGCATGAAATTGAATTTGGCTAATGCACACTTCTATTATTTTATGGGTAATTAAGTAAAAGTTAGAAGTTTGGTCCTTCTAGAGTCTCATATAACAAAAATATATGTATCGTTTGTAGGCAGAGAAGATCAGATGGGAACCATCTTAAGCAAGACAACAAATTTCAGTTCTCTCAAGTCTCAATTTCATTGTTTGTTTAAAAAAAAAAATTGTAGTCTCAATTTCATTGCATGATAATAAAACACAATACCAAAGCTCAACATAAAAGGCTTCAATAGTAGTTTTATAACCAACAGTCAGTCTGTTCTGCAATCTAGTACATCATAAACAAGTAATATATTTTCATTTCTGAGTGCTCATAGTGAAATTAATATGAAGCGTATCAGCAAAAGGTCATCTGAAGAAGATTCTCAACTAATATCTTTCAGTAAAACCCAAACATGCCGCGTTTCTTCAGAGGAAGAAGCTAAGTTTGCCAGCAAATTCCAATGCAACATGGTTACTGAGGACTCCGGTGAGGTTGCCGCGAGATCTAGAGCACCTTCCTGCATATCAAAATCAATGTTTATACAATTGAAAGGTGAACTTTAATCCTGAAGATATCAACAATTCAACCCACCAAGAACAAGACATGATGAGTCCAAGAACATGTCTTCGCGCACCACTTGACCGGCCCCAGCCCTCCACGAAGTCTCCATGGTTTTGAATTCAAAGTGATTCAACCGGAGAATGCAGATTCTCTAATCCGAAAAATCACTTCTTGACCCTCCAAAGATGAATCTGACCATTAGATGTTCAGGAATCATCATTGGTAATTCACCTTCCAAAGTGGAGAAAGTTAATCTCTCCCCCTCATCCACATCTTCTTAATCTATATCTTTAAAGAAAAACAACGGTGTTAGATAACCAGTTATCCACAGGCTTAAATTGTTGAGAAATGGATCAACAATGTGTACAAAAGCACTAGCACCCTGATCGTGCCTGTTGCACATGGATGGCAAGAAGGGCATAATACGACTAGAACGAACTCTCTTACAAAGCAAAATGCCAACAAAAAGAGATAATAGGGAAACAACTGCAAACACATACATGAATCTAATTCTTCTAGGAACCAAAGCACCAATATGATGTTAGATGAATAGTTTCATAATATTGAACTACCAAGGAATGAGCTCAACAAAAATATATATCAAGCTCTCACAAACGGTAAAAATAAGGATGCATCAACTAAATATTTAATTCAAGAAAAACTTCGTACGTCAATTAAACTGAGAATGAGAAGAGGAACTAATCATGTCCCAACCAGAAAGAATACGGATGATATCGAATCCATGCCAAAACAGTTAAGCCACATCTCCCCACTTGATGAAAATCCACTTCATCCATGCAGAAAAGCAATGCCTTGATAGGTGTTCTGGCAAATCAACCTATAAAACATAATAATGATAAAAAAAATAAGTAAACGTATGATAACAATTCCCTTCATACCTACCTACGCTATAACGATATATCTACTTCTTACATCATAATCATTATCTCTATTATAGTTACTGTTACAATTCTTAATTCGAGCAACAGCAAAGCTTTTGATGTCCATCAAATCACACACACACAGATTGTTAATGTAAATAACTAAAAAATGCAGTCAAAAGGATGACCAGTGTAAAATAGCTCAATCAGAACTTTTACCAAAGAGTACATCGTGAGAGTGTAGAACAGGTTAGAAAGAGATTTTTACATCAAAATATTAAAATTTTGTCCATTTCACAGTGATTGATAAGAATATTTCAAATGAACAAGTTTGGATTGGAATTACAAATTAAAAGTATTTATGTTCAAGTAAATTCAAAAGACATAAAGATCAATGAAGATTCAATATGGGTCAGCTTCAGGATGCAATATGACTTCCCCAAGGACCTCCTTTTCCAAAAGCATTCAGTGAGTTTCTATAATACAGATGAAAAACGTATGAGATTGAATACTAGGGCAACCAACAAACCGAGATGTTCGTTTATAGTTCAAGCTTGCTCGCTAAGAGCTAGACATGTTAATGTTTATTAAATAAACGAACAAATCTCAAACAAGATTTTCAAGCTCGTTTACAGAGCCTAACAATCCTGAACTCGGCTCGTTAGTTTGTGAACAAGGCTCAATAACAAGCCCGCTAATGTGTTCGTTACCATAGATGTATATCCCACAAAGAATTGGGTCCTTTCATATTAAGAGGTCTATTACTTATCAAAAATATATATATATTAAGAGGTCCATTTAGCCCATAGTCTATTAAAAACCCAAATAGCCTACATTAACAGCCAATATGACCCCCTCATATCCAAAGATCCCCTATAATGCAACAATATCTCAAATCTAAAATTACCTTACCCTACCTCTTTCATATCTCTACCACATCCGATCAAGCTCTCTCTCTCTCTCTGTGTACATACTACGACATCTCTTTTTATATAAGTAGCTCTGTTTTTTGTGTTTTTTAGTATCTCATAGGGAAAAAAAATAAAAATTGAAGAAGAAGAAAAAAAAACCAGAGCTTGGATGAATTAGGGTGAGCCAAGCTAGAGCTTGGCTATGTCAAGCTCGTCCAAACAGATGCCAAGCTCAAACACCCCAAAGATAATAAGCTTGATTTGTGTTGGTTCGTTTGCAGCCTGTTGAATACACATGGACATCTGATGTGGCAGGCCCCAAAGCAAACTGCCAGTATTAGTTTAGGAAGTATCCCATGTGGCTCACCTCAAAGTAGAATCAAACCCAGGACATCCATGTTCTTGGGCTTGACCAATGCTTCCACCCCCCTGGGGTTCATCAACTACAAACTGATTTTGCAATTTCTTTCCTTTTTTATTCTTTTTTCCACAACATGCATTCCTTGTTTTCATATAAATCGTGTTTCGCTAGCACTGATATTCCTTAAGATAATAAAAAAAAAAAAAAATAGTTACAAATCTTACTGAATTAGTAAACAAGTTTTGTTGAGAACTAATCAAATCTTACTAATCATAAATGGTCAACGATGCATGGTATCATTAAAAAAATTTGCACAAGAGCAAGCACAAGCGCAATGTAAAAATAAAGTGATACAAACCGTAGAGATGCTCATCAGTTCAAATTTAAGATGAAGAATAATAAACTTACACTGCTCCAATAAGTAGAGTACCCATCAGTGGAGAGCATCCAATTTCCAGCCTTAGATTGCAAACCTGTCCTGTTATTTGACAGATCAAAGTCCAGTAGCTCATCGCCATAGTAATCATCATGATCAATATCTCTTCTCCTTCTCTTTCTACGCTTTTCTTTCTTCTTGCTCCTGACCCTAACTTCCCTTTCATCCAAATCAGACCCCATTTCTTCTGAGAATTCATCTTGATGTAACAACGGATATTTGTTATACTTGCGAAAACTAATTCCGTTATTAATAAACAACAATTCCCAGGACTCAGGGGTCTGGCACTCCTCCGACAATCTGTAATGAATTGCCCAAGACTGCAAACCCAGCCATTTTATTGATTCTATGGTTTTTCTCTTGATGCAGATTTCCATTATCAGCGTCAAACTACTGTCATGGCTTGTGGATGTGCAAATCTGTGACACAATATCTTTAATTTTTACCTTTGCCTGCTGGTCCTCCTCTTCACGTACAAGCCGTAGAAGCTGGCGTCCTTCACTTATAACCGCATTCAACAAAAATAACTGATCAATAGATTCGAAATCACTGCACTTTGAAAGTATAATCTCAAGCCAATTTGACGGGTTACCAAAATCCATTGATTTTATCCTTGGTTTTAGAAATTTGCAGATGGTTTTCAGGAAAACACAGAGATCACGCTCCTCAAGGATAATAAGAAGGTGATGACATAGAGAAGAGAAAGACTCCTCCATTAGAAACTCGTTTAGGATTTCCCATACTTCTTTTGAATCCTTTTTGTAAATCAAATCAACAAAAAAATCCACAAAGAATTTAGTATCAATGAACAAAATTTCACCATCTTTTAGTGACTCAGAAAATTCATTGGATGACCAAAATTCAGGCACGTTTTCAACAAAATTTTCCACTGTTTGCTCCACGTCCAGATCAAGAAAGTAGTGAGGCTTCGTAGCAACCACAGCAGGTGATTGTCCATGTTTGCCTTTCCATTCAAGCTCCTCCCAACAAATGTCACGATTCACAAAGGCAAATTGGGATAATGCCTTGGCACCTTTTCTGGGTCCCAAATCACCATTACCAAAACTAGAGAACCACTGCAAGATACGTCTCGGATTTCCTGCATTGTTCAACAATTATGGCACAATAAGAACTAATAATTTCGCATTATAAAGGTTTGTTCAACCTACAACAGTACAACCCCTGATGTGCTTTAATATGAAAATTTTATCGCAATTATAAAATATGAGGAAAACGACTGGATATCTATAACAATTGCCCATACTAGCCCAACAAACACCTGGTAAACAGATTACCCATGAAACAATAAACCTCAATGACATTTGCATAGGCAAGGACAAAACTAGGACCTAGCAAATCTAGGTTGAAGATGCTGCACCACCCTTTTAAAGCAAAAGTAATGATCTACAACTAGATATGAAGCATTAACACAATGGATTTCCATAATAAAAACAAACTCAAAATGCCAATGTAACTCACCTTTAAAGAAATTCTCCAGCATGTAACCTTTTTTGGCTATGACATGCCCTGCTTTATGTGGATGCTTCTCAAAGATCATTTGCAAAAGTTGAGCTGCTAAACCCTGCTTCGGTGGCTTAGATCTCAACAGTTCTGCAAATAGCTCACGTTGATGATGAGGACTGATGGAAACTATACCCGAAAGAGTGTTGCAAAGCCATAGTTTAGCTTCAGAGCGACCTCCAGACAACATCAGTGACCAGATAACAGATTCTAACTTATTTAAAAGATATATTCTCTGCTTAACAGAATTGTCATGACCAGCATTACTCCAGGTGGGTTCAGATAGAAGCAATTGAATCATTTTATGTCTGGAATACAAAAATATGTCAGCTCAACGTATTCAAATCAAATGGCAGAAGGGTATGAAACAATGGCGTCTTCACAAGGGCCTGCCTCCCGCTCTTGGCTTATAGACATGAAGATTTATCCACGAATTATTCACAGTTCATCCCGACATTCCTACTAGGTTGACGACCAGCGATGCCTCTAACAGAGAGAGGAGTATTTCTGCTAAAGAAAAAAGCAGATTTATCCATGTTGATCGCTTACAAGTCGGTGGCATTTTCAATTATAAAGAAAAATCAATAAAATTAATTGGGAAAAAGGAAATTTAAAATTAAATCACACGGTCAATCTCAAAAATCAAGGTTAAGAATCCAGCATTTAGTTTATTCAGAAAAAAGAAAAAATCCAGAATTCAAGAGAAATGTGGATGTCAAGCCCTGGCAGGTGGCAATCTACGGTTCAAATAATTCACTAGCTAAAACAAGTGGATTATAAATGTTCACACAAAAATCAAGCAATGAATTGTGTTCTATCAAGAAATTTGAAAACCTGGGATAAAACTTACATAGTGGAACTCAAAAAGGAAAGCATCAAGCTACAAATAAAACAGGTAATGTAAGTAACTTCATCAAGCACCAAAGAGTTAGATTCGTTTGATTTGGAATTCAAGATCTGGAAGTTCTGGGCCTCTGGGGCTGATCCAGATCATTGCATTCATGGAAAAGTGCAATTTGGAGAAAATCAAAATGGATCTCTCATGAATCTAAGTTATTTTCTCCTATCGTTTCAAACTCAAAAAGCAGCAAATGCAATCGTGAATTTGGTAATGCCACTGATTTTTGGTTGAGACATAGATTCTATATTGTCCTATGGGTACCATGATGATTTGGTCAGCAAGACTTTAAGCTTTTGGCTTAACTTCCCTACAAGGCATTTATGATTGTTTCGCACATGTTAAAATAGTAAAAAGAAAAAAAATCACTGTATCTTCAACACAATCTAAATGTTTTAGAAAAGAAATTTGAAAAAAGAATTTTGAATAAAATATCAGAGTCACCTCTTTATGGAACTTATATCAGCCTCCTATTTATTATGGTGGTGCCAAGAAATTATCACTTTTAAGACCATAACACGTCCCAGAATGTCTATTCCACTTTTTTTGCAACAATGGCATCCAACAGAAAATAGATTCAACCTGCATTAACACTAATCAACATTCCTTCTAATGCTAAACCAATGAATCAATTAAAAATTTATGACACAATAATAATTATAGTAGGTGCAATGCAAATGCCTGGATTATCCTGAAGACACACTTGAGTCAGAGAATGAACCTGATAACCCATTTTGAGGGCCTGCTCAAAGCAAAGAAAGCACCAAAATGAAAAAATATAGGACAGGATTTTCAAACAAATGATGGAACAGATTTTCAACATAGTTTGGACTCAATAGTTGAAAAGAAATACTCTGCTTAGTGGGATCACCTAAGGTTGCTACAAGAAAGAAAGAAGAAGGGGAAAAAAATAGCAGACAAGATAATGATAAACCTAAAAGTTTTTCTTGCCATTTCATATATTTAGAATTTCAAACCAAGAAAAATAAAAAGTGGGAAGAAAATGATAGACCTGAAAATTTTCTTTTCATTACTTATTCAACTGCTTCTGACTTCCAAAATGACATGATTAATTGCAGGGAACCCAATTCATGGCCAGATATAAGAAGATAATTAGAAAAATGGTAGACTGAATCGATTTATCAAAAAGTGACGAACCATGAATGTTCCTTCAATGGAATTCAGCAGAACTTGAAATATGTTATTAATGACTTAATCCACAGATGTACTGCTCAATTTCTACAACCTATCAACACAACAGAGCAGAATTGGTTACAAACTTCAAGTACGCAAATTTCAATCCTTTTTTTTTTCTTTTGATAAGTCAAATTTTGAACCATCTGTATAGCCAATCATGCATACTAGAACTTCAAATTTTCTACAACAGCACCTGGTTTTCATACTAAAACCACTGGTTTGATCCTCAATACATGGAGAAACAGGTCTATATTCCAATATGAAATGCAGTTAATCTAGTCTGAGGTGTCCATATTGTAGCTGGGCATTTCGTGCCAGCAACAAAAGAAAGCAAAACAGCTTTACGTTACTATTTTTGGATAAAACTTGATCATTGCTTGAGATTTACAGCAAACGAGCATATAATAAATGGGCTGATGTTGACAATGACATACAATTCTTCTCAAAATAAATGAATGGTAGGTAGAATCAGAAGTCGAAGATGACAAGATGCAAATGATACATTCAAAGCCACACAACTGGGTAAGCTAAAGCAAACTACTGTTAGATGGTGGAAGTTTGCTTTACCTGCCTGTCAATAAATGATAAACAAGCTCAAGAAATACATCCGAAACCAAAAAAATTCTCCAGATGTAAAATAGAAAATGAGTTTACTTTGAACCTAATCGTACTTATTAAAGGCGAAAAAGAAAAACTTACTCACTACACACTAACTGTGACACTAACATCTATCTACAGCTATAACAAGGTCATAAATATGACGGTTCACACCTAGCTAAAAAGTGAATAAAACTTCCACCCAGATAATTGGTACATAGTCCAAATCTGCTCCGATAATGCTTAAGTGAAACAAATAGCCAATTAACTGGTTCGATAATTTTAATCATGTTCTTATAAAAATGGATTTAATGCCTTAATAAATTAGATGAGGCAATCCCATTTTGGGTTGAACTTCAAAAGTGAGCAAATTTCTGCTTTCCATAGCATACAAATGTGCTAATTCTCATTCAAAAAATACAGATTATTGGTAGCAAAAAGTGAAGTCAGACAATCAGAAAACCAAAATTCATAATATAGGGCAAAGAGAGAATTTTTTACGTTTAGCATCAAGCTTTGAAGTTCTTTCAAAGGGGAAACATATATATATATATAGATAGATAATAAATTGTTAGATTTGTAAGCTTCAATTTCTATACTACAGTTAAGGATCGGTAATCGAAACTTGGAACTCTAGAAAGCTAAATAAGTTAAATTTCACAAAACAGAGCATATAAATGCACACGTGTCTGTATATATATATGTGTGTATAAGAAAACCCTAGAAATCTTTAGCCGGCGTGAATTGAAGCGTACCTAAAAGGATATGCCTTCGCCGGAGAAGAAAGCTCTCTGCCTTGCATCAATTTGCAGATACCTTTGGGCTTTGGCCCACTAATTATACGAAAGTCGATCGGAAAACTATGGTAGGACTTGGATGGGTCTAACCCGACAAACCGGCAAACTATGGGTAGGATTTGGATGGGTCTTACCCGGCAAATCCAACTAACACAAAAGGGCGAAAAAAAAAAAAAAAAAGTTTATAACTTTTATATTTTTATAATTTATGACTTGATATTAGTCAAATGAAATAAGAGTAAGGTTGCAATTGGTGCGTAGTGTTATTGTTATTTGTAGTTACTAACCTAAATTTGAATGACAGTTATTTTAACTGTTTGATCTAATATTATAATAATTGATATTAGGTAAAACAAAATAATAATAAATAGTATAAATTTTTTATTCCTTTCCAAATTATAATACAAAGGTACATTGAATGTACCAATTTCAGTAATTTTATTTCAAGTTAAATGAATATACTTTAGCTTTTTCTTTCAATTTTTTACTTATTGGTAGATTATTGAAATTTTGAACAATTCCAAAGCTCATAAAATTCTAGGCATCGTGATGATTGATATACAATATGTTTATTGGGACTTGGATACGGCTCGAGCTAAAGTATTAGTACCTTTGGTCTAGTCTAGGCTAGCTCCTTGGTTAGCCCAAGTCTCCCACCTAAGATAACCTCACCCCGGCCAATTAACTTATTATGATCTATTTACAAAAATTAAAATTAAAATTAAAAAAAATAAGAGGAAGAAGAAGAAGAAATTATGGTCAAAAAAAGAGTTACCATTTTATCAAATATTGTGTGTTGAAGTGAGTGTGAGCGTATTTCATGTAATGAAAAAAAAAAAAAAAAAGGGAGTAAATTACACAGACCTTCATCATAGTTTGTCATAATTACAAGAACCCTCTCCATGATTTGAAAATCTACTCGAACCTCCTTAAAAAAATAAAATTGTCTTACACAAACCTCCCTTCTCAATGATCTACCGTCAAAAGAACTAACTTGTCTAATTTATTGAAATACCATCAAACTACTATGGTAAATGATTGAATTACCCATAAGATTATATATATATATATACATATCTTAAATCCATCACTTCGTCAGTCTTTGAGCCTGAATGGGGAACTTGATGGTTCGGGCATTCTCAATGCACCTTGATACCCGTCACGGGTACTTAGAAGATTGTTTCTTCGATTGGTCTCGTTGCCTCCTGGTCCCCTCAAAATTTGAATTCTTTCTCAATTCTTACGATATTGTTATGAATGAGGTCACATTTGGAGAAATCTCAACCATTCACAAACAAGACTAGAATTGCTTATAGATTTAACGAACCTGCCCAGCAAGCTAAACCCAGATGTGGTTCGATCCGCTCTTTACCCAACACAATCGGAAAATTGACTCTGCTCCGAGTCCTTAGCCTTCATACCAATTGTATCTCCGGTCAGATACCCTCTTATTTCTCCAATCTAAAGCTTCTCCGGCAACAACGTCACCTGCACAATACCATTCGCCGTCAACAATTTGACCAATCTCCCCTCCGGCGACAAGAGTGTCTCACCGGTTCTCTGTATTGCAGCCTGCGAGCTCATCAGCGGCAAGGAATCTGACACCGATGCTTGCCGGCAACTCCCTTCTGGCTTTCGCCGAGTACATCGCCACCACCACAACAGAGATCTCATCCGCGGTGATTGTTGCAATTTACGTTGACAGAGCACTTCTCTTGTTATGTTACTAATTCTCTTCCTGTTTGCGGTAGTGGCTGAGGTGGGCATGGGCCTTTCCATCACCTTCGTTGCTTACTCTCTCTACGTCCACAAGCTCGCAAGCAATGAGGGGCGCGATCTTGCTCGTAGTGACTCACTCAGTAATTGAACTCGGTGGTAAAGTAACACCATAGCAAGGCGTAAGTCATCGATTCAAATCCGACAATATTACCATACAACGAACGACCTTCCCTCCAAAAGAATTTTCAGGTTAAGAAATTTTATTGCCCTTTATATCTAGGCTAATTTGCACATATATTTTATAAAAAACACTAAGAGCAATACCATTCTTTATTCATACACAATGAACAAAATATATCAATAAGAAACCACAACCATAGAGAGCAACCATAGAGAGCAGTAGGAACAAACAAAAAGCATCTTCAAGATTAAAAAGTGACTAAATTGGCCGTCCATAGTAAAATATATATTAAAAGAACCCATCTTAAATGTAATTTTTTAACAATTCAATTACTACTCAAAAACTACTCCATTACGACACATTAACCGATAGCGTACGAATAGCTGACAAAATTTCTCAAAACAATCTAACAAGAAGGAACGGCATAAACAGACTAATTCGCATCCAAAGTTATGGCGTTGTGTTCACTCATCATCGTCGTCCTCATCGTCATCAGCTCCAGCAGCAGAGTTGAGAGCATTCAACCTCTCTATCAACTTTGCCTTCCTTTCCTCGTAAGTTAGCTTCTTCAGGTTGTACCTGTCACAAAACAACAAAATGTAATCAACCACGAAACAACAAAGTGTAATCAACCATCGAGTTCGATGAGTGCTGAATATCCCACCTCCAAAAGGTAAGTGTACATAGGCTAATAGCACATAAATAACAGCGAAAACTGAATCCTCTCTCACTCTATATATATATATATATATATATATATCTGGAGAAACAGATTCCTGGGTCCAAATATTCACACTAGTGACAAATCTCAGAAACGAAACTAAGTTTACGACCAGATTTCACCTACAAAGACTATACACAAACTATAATGTGTGATCAAATTTCACTAGGTTTACAAATAATACATTCAACTCCAATTGATCCCTTGATAATGATGTAAATCCAAATTATTTTAGCCTTTCAATAAAAAATTCGGCAAAATTTGGTAGTCAAGTTTTGGATAAAAGATTTTATCCAACATAAAGATGATTAATTTTGTTTGCTATAGACTTCATTGTGATCAAGAGAGTTAAAAAGTAAGAACACATAAGACTTACCTCTTGTGCTCTTTCGGGGGCTCCTTCTCACATTTCTTAGGGCTGGGGTCAGCACGTATGGCTGCATGGACCTTTTTGTACATCTCCTCAATCTCCTCTGCCTCGACACCTTTCTTTATGTACTCACTAAAGTGAGACTGGTACTTCTCTGGCTCATCTTCCATCAAAATCTAAATATTAATCAATGAAGTGAGAAAATTAGTGGGGGAGATGTGGTAAAAGAGTAGGGAGAGGTTGATATTCTAAATTAACAAAACAATACTACAATCAGCATGATATAATGAACTCCAACACCAACAAAAGGACTTAGGCCTCACCTTCATGTATGCAGTAACATGGCCTCCGTATACGTACTTGCGATGGACCTCAGCATCAAGCTGTTTGCTATCCTTGCTGAATCCAGCAAACCTCTTGTCACTGTGAGGAATATCAAGGCCACCATCCAATGCTCCCTGCATAAAGGAGATGCAAGTAACTGTTGTCACATAACGAACACACGAACACAAGAGGAAACAGAAATTACTTCATTCCACATTCCAGAAGTATTCAGATAAAGATGAAGTAATCCCCTAAAGCTCCAAACCATTAATGTAGTTATACAGAGCATATAATAATCCACAGAAACTTCACTGTTATTATTTATCAGTTTGCTTTACCCCATCCCAGTCTTCATTAATAAATTCAGAAACAATAAACTGTGTATGTGAGGATACAAATCAAGACTTATACAATGAGGAATACATGCTTTCGCATCCAATAGCAACACTGTTGCCTCCCAAACTGCAGGAACTCCAGCTGGAATACAATGTTTTACATGCATATGCCACAATGGTAAAACTTGAAACTCCACATGTTTGTAAATGTGTTCCCAGAGTTCAGCATCCAGAAGTATGAAAAATTGATACTACCTCGGAAGTTACAGAAATTAACTCAAACTCAAAACTTGCAGAACGAAGGAAAAGAAAACAAAATAAGATAAAAAGGCGGAGGTGGTGTGTCAGGAGTTAGGCTAGGAGGCAGCAATTGTTCCAAGCCTCATCAATCAAATTTTGAAATGCCTCACATGAACTAATCCATTCAGGCAACCACATCCACTTGCTACAATGAAAAAGTCAACTGTTCAGCAATTCCTATTTCAATTTTGTATGGATTAACCTTTCTTTTTTTCTAGTACCAGTTGTTACTTATTAGAAATATTGTCAACATGATTATATTTTAAAAACCACACTAACATTTACAGATCTATTGCAGAACTAAAAGACTACATTCTACATGTCATATATATGGTATATACTTAAATGAAATACAGACATGTGAAACATCAGTAGGGAGATATAAAAGATCATTAACAGAAGAATTTAAGTACAACAACAATGGCGTGCTACTTTAGTTTTCTCAAACTTATGCAATTAATTTTACAACAAAGTTCACCAAGATACCTTAAGAGCACCAAAAACACGATTGCCAGTTGTTGTTCGTATAAGGCCAACGTCTAGGAGAGCACGGAAAGGCCGCCTGCTCTCTGCTGGTTCAACAGAGAAATCCTCTCCAGTTGCCTATATAGAAATATTCAGCTGTGGGTTAATCTTTCCAAAAAGGCTTCAATTGGTAAATGCATCAATAACTCCTCATCTACGACATTTACCTCAACATTTCCCTGATACTCATCATCCATTTCGAGCATCTTCAGTACTCGGCGAGCCAATAGAAGTCCAGTACAGTAAGCTGACTCATGGTAACAGTTAGAAATTATAATATATCCATCTACAGAATTTGAGTAAGAAATTCGAATGGTCCAAAACAGGGCAGAAACTAAAATGGTTCAAAAGATAAAGTACAGATACCTGCAGCATAATTTGTAAGGCCCACTTCAAGCCCATAATGAGGCAGCTCATGTGCATAAGCAGCTGCAAGGATCATATCACCCGCAATGCTAGCAGATACAATCTGTGCAATTATATCCTTGTTGGTCTAGAAAAGCATTAAGGTAATTTTACTAGTAAAAAATTGATGATGATTAGACTGCATACAATAGAAATAACATAGCAATTAGGAACCCTAAATCAAATATTGGATTAATCTAATAACCAACACAATAGCTTGATGTTGGCCTGTATGATGGAAAATAATTAAGGTAATTCTCAGCCTTAGAATTGCATAGTCTGGATACAAATCGCACGACAAATCGATATTTCGGAGTGTTGTACTTGTTTTTGTCTTGATTAATCAAGCGAATTCTGGCCCGGTAGTCCGTCTTTCCCTCTACACAATTGAAACAGATAACAAAATCACAATGATGCTTATGGAAAGTTATCATTCAAAGCATTGAAAACAGCAATACAGTTATCATACCCCTTCTTCTCTTAAATTTAACTTGGAAACGCTTGAAGTAAGCTCTAGACTTTTGAGCTTTAACAAAGACCTGCAATGAAATAAGCAACGTTTCAGGCCCAAATATATATGCGTCCGCATTTGTGAGTGTGTGTTTGACAAGAAAATATAGCAGAGTCAGAGTCCTTGACAATCAGCCAAAATAGTTCTAATAAATATCCAAAAATATATAAACTATAATTAAAATTGGGAAAGTGAAACTCTATATTGTTAGAGAATTTGAAACCAAACAATCAAAGCAACTGTCCTCTCAAATAAAAATGCAAAACAAAGATGGAGACAGCAAAAATAATCTTAAATCACCAGCTAATAAACGTGTTAGAATTGAAAGAAAAATAAGGCTAACAAAAGAAAATAAAAACTTGGTGTGAAAGATTATATGCACAGACAAACAAAAACTTCAAATCTTCAACTAAATCATCATACACAGATGCATATATATACACATTTATATACATATAGATATACACACACATAGTTCATCAGAAATTAATAGCAGGTATCATTATCATCCTCAACTTGAGACCTTCACACAAACTGAAACACCCGAAAAGCTCAGATTGGGTACTGAAACGGCGGGAAATAGCCGCAGGTTTTGATTTTTCTTTTATCGATCCAAGTGAAAAACCTTTCAAGTAACACAGTACATAAAAACAATATCCTACACTGCATTATCTATTCTTTCCCTTTCTTTTCTTTTTTCCTTCATTGTCTTAGCAACCAAAAGGAAATACATAACAATCATCTAAACCGTGAACTGCGTGTTTTAGTACAGAACAATATCAGATCTATTGCTTGAATCAACATAACAGACATATGTAAATCTTAAAATCATGAAAGTACGAACATGAATAACGAGAGATTAGTGTATTTGCTGCTTACCATCGTTGCTGCTTAGAGAGAGAGAAGAGACACGGAGAGAGAAGTGGCCGAAGGACGTAAAGAGTAGTGAAAATGGAGCTCATATACTAAACCCTAGGACTAAGGCGAAGTAAATCAACGGCCAGGATCTAATCGGTTTGAGTAAGGCCACGTTTCAGTGTGTAAAAAACCTAAAATGTGGTGTGTGTAATGGTATACAATGTGGGCCCATTACAATAAATTATACCCAAAATTACCTATTAACCCTACTTTTCAATTGAAAGGACCAATAAGTCCTATAAAATTTCATAATTCCAATAACATTACTATATTTTCTTTTTTATTCGTTTTTTAATAAGTATATTGTCTTTTTTATTCTTAGTATAACTTATATATATATATATATATATATAAACATAAACTTACTTTTAATTCTTGAAATCAATAATTTCTAAAACAATATAAAATAGGAATAAAAAAAGTAAAATGAATTTAATAATTCACTAATTGTACATGAATACACTTCATATAATAAACATTGTGGAAATTTTTTGGCTTGTTTTAATATTTATTTTTATTACAATTTAAATAACTTGTTAAATATTTTAACATTTTGTTAATTTTAGTTGCAATTAAAACTATGTATTTTTTTTTCATTATTATTGTAAATTGATATCAATTATATAGAGGAAAAAGATATAGTTAGTATTTTAATAAGAAAATAACATTTGGTTAAAAATTTTGTTGATAGAATGATAAACTTAGTTGGAAAGATTTGTTAAAAGTAGGATTGTATGATTCTTATAAAATAATTTAGGACTTACTTGTCTTTAAAAATAATAAGTAGGACTAACTAATAATTTCTCTAAATATTATCCCTAAATTATGAATTGTCACCTTTTCTAAATTTTGGTTAAATACATTGAAAATATTGGTTTTTTTATTATTTTTGGTTAATAATTTTCAATTTACCTAGAAAGAAAAATTAACTAAACTATCATTGATTTCTAATTTTGAAAAAATATATATAATTGAATCTAATTAAAGGAAATCATGAGTAAATGAATTTATAAATGTATAAAAAACTAGGTATACACTTGGACCATCCAACAAGCAATCATATAGAGCTTCACTTCCATCAACAGTATTAGCGGCACTAACCATCTTAACAAGAAATCACATAGGGCTTCATTTCAATAAGCAATATTAGTGGAAGTGAATAGCAACTTCGGCATCCATGTAAACTCACTCAAAACTCAAAACGGTTAGAAAACAAACTCCAATCAGATTCAGCATTCAGGTGGAGAAAAATAATATAACTAAAATTAAATGGTAGCACTCGTAGTTTGTATGGAATTCGGATAATTTATAAGCCATTTAGGTCGGACAGAATCTTTACTAAAAAATTGTAGAAATTTTTGAAAGTAACTCTCAGATTTTAATACGAAGAAAATGGAAATTTATAGAGAAAATTGAACGGTAGCACTCGTAATTTGTATAAAAACTCTATAGTAAAATCACTGTTAACAAACAAATGTCATACGAATAAAATAATAAGTGCGAGAAATCCAAACTCACAGATATCTATAACAGCGGCAAGTGTTGCTTAACCTAGATGTTTTGGTTGAGGTGAGAATGTCTAAGGATGAGTGAGTGAGATAAGGTCTTCATCTCTAGGCTCGCATATCGGCAACGCCAAGGTGTTGGCTTGACCTAGATGTTTTGGTTTTACACTTTACTTAAGTAAAACCTCATCCAACGTGCTGATGTAGCCCAATAGATCTAAAACAAGTGTCTAAAAGCAAATGTTATGATTTAAAATACATGTCCAAAAGCAAAAGTTAAGCAATGCCCAATTTAATTTTAACAATTGTCGCAATTTTATTGGGCCACATTAGCAGATTGGATGAAGTGGGTTGGACCTAAGTATTGTTCATTCCTATAACATTAGTGCTCTTCCAATATTGCCTTTTTTTTTTTTTTTTTTTTGATAAGTATATTGCCTTTTTTATTCTTAATACAATATATATACTAGAAATGTGCACGTGCGTGAAATTTATTTTATATCAAAATTATAAATTGATTTTTTGAAATTCAAAATTTGTCCTTTTGGGTAAACACTTCAAAGTTCAATGAAAAAAATAATTAATATAATATATTAAACATTTTCATATAATTAATAATTTTCAATATAATTAAACAATGATGGTTTCTAATTTTGAAAAAAATTATATAATCGAATCCAATTAAAGGAAATCATGAGTAAATAAATAAAAAGTTAGGTACACACTTGGACCATCCAACAAGAAATCACAGAGAGTTTCACTTCTATCAACAATATTAGTGGCATTAACCATCTTAACAAGAAATCACATAGGCTTTGTTTGGATTGAGGATTTTAGAGTGATTTGGAGAGAAAGGAAAGGGAAAGATAATGTATAGTGTGCTTAGATGAGAGGAATTAGATAGAAAGGAAAGGATTGGGAAGGATTTGGAGGGATAGCTATTATCCCTCCAAATCCCTCAAACTGAATTCCTTCAAATTTGACCAGATTTGAAAGGAAAGGAAACCAAGTTAAGTAAAATTTTCATTAAGACAAAACTAGCCTTCAAAATTCTATACACAAAATTTTTATTACATTGAAGTCCTAATAACATAACACAATATCTAGGGCAAATCAGATTCGGCACAACAAAGATTAGCTCCTCTTCTCTAGTTCCTCTTCTTTGGCTTCTCCGACTTCTCTAGCTCCGGTTTCTCCTTTTCTCCAGCTCTGGCTTCTCCTCTTCTCTAGCTCCAGCTTCGCCTCTTCTCCAGCTCCAGCATTCAAGTTAGAGTTTTGTTGTTTTTGAATCAACTTTTGGATTCTTTTCTTGTTAATTTACACTTACAATTCCCTAGATGGAAATTTTCTTATTAATTTACACTAATAATTTAAAACCTGGATCGAAATTTCAATTCTCTATATATGGTGCCAAATTGGGTAATCTCTGGCGAATCTTTCCCTTTTTAATCTTCGATGATTTAAGTTTTTTTTTGGCAACTAAACAACGGGAAAAAACAACATCAAAGAGAGGATAAAACTCCTATAAATATCCATATCTAGCTCCGCTAGAAGGAGAATATCCATTGGGAAGTGAAGCAATAAAGAGTCCTGCCTAATATGACTTCGAGCTAATTTAGCAACTGCATTAGCGACCTCGTTGCCATGCCTATCTACATGACTAACTCGAACCGAGGAAAAATCTCGAAGCAATTGAAGAATATCAAATTTGATAGCTTCCAAAGCTACAGGACTTGAATCTGGAATCATCACTACCTTGCAAAACACTTGTGAGTCACTTTCAAACCAACAAGATGAAATATGTAATTAATGAGCCCAAATGATAGCCTTTCTAAAACATTCAGCTTCTACTGTAGTAGCATTAAGAGAATGAAATGGGGAAAAAACAATTATATGAAGGATTTTCCTAGCTGAATCACGAAACACAGCACCACATCCTCCAATGGATGTCAACTGGGAAAAAGAAGCATCAAAATTGCATTTGATTTCCCCTAAATTTGGAGGCAACCATTGTGATACCCCTCGATTCTAGAACCACGGGTGATCAAGTCCGGGCACAGATCCGAGAGATACCAAACAATCAATATATAAACAAACAGGAATAAAACTGAATTAAGAATAAAATAATGATATGGTGAAAAGAAATCTAATTGTAAAACCTCCAAAAATAAAAGTTTTAATATAAATTAACTTTCCAATCCGTACAACTCGGGAATCCATCTAGTGGACCCCTAATATTTCCAACTGGTAAAACATTTACAGAATTAAAATCCAAAACCAAAATAAGAAAGAAAATCCTATGTAGTCGGAAGAGTGAGTGACTGTATCTGCATCACTACGATCAAACCCTAAGTCTGGTACTCACAAACACCTGAAAAATAAAGGTGGGTCAGGCCCACATGCAAGTTCTATCCTACTACAATCCGTACATAAACCCGATACACAGATACATCCTAGATAGCTCGGCAATATCTACAATAGTCCATAGATGTATAAATACACACTATAGGATGCTCACTAGCCTATAACATAGTTCAGCCTGGGTAGAAGGTGACATATAAAACACGTTTTTCAGCGGCCAAGTACCTAGACCTACCAGGGAACATTAACTACATCTAGCTACTCAACCTTTGCAATATACGCACCCTAACCGTGACCAGGAGACTCAAGCTCGTATCACGGTACCATAAATATATATATAAATTCTTTCCTAATGCAGAAAAATAAAACAAACATCCGTTATGTCGTTCAACTGTTTTAGTTGACAGGACATGCATCTATGTAGGATTTAACTATTTTAGTTAATCCATTCCTTATGTATGAAAGGGGTAGGACTTAGCTTTTTGATCTAATCCATCCCTGATATGTCACCGTCCCATACCGGTACATATAATGCATATGATCCACACATGATGCACACTCAAAATGAACATCAAGTATATCCAGAATCAACATAATAGAAATCAGATATAGATAAGCTCCTATCATGCATCCAGTATATGATTATATTCATAGAACCTCCTTTTAAATTGTTAAAATAAGAATAAACAATTTAAACTATCCATTTCCATGTAATTGACGGAACAGAAATTAAGACAGTTCAGCAATTATCCTTCATAACATAATATAATGAATATCAGAATTTTAAACTGCACATTATACTAGAATTCCAAAACAACACATCCTTACTAGTTCGTTTAAAATGTTAAAATAATGACTAGCATTTAAATCCTCCCATATCCTTTACGGCATGCAAATTTATAATTAAATCTCATGGCATCTATGTAATTCCCCATTATAAATTCTGTGTCGGATATAATGACACTCCAAAGTTTAAGTACATCATATGAAACTTCAAAAAGTATTTTATATGAGTTCCATTTAATTTGCTAACACAAAACTAGCAACTAATCTTCCACTACTCCCGACAATATGCAGCTTATTAGATGAGGGTACATGACGTCATAACCAACATTCCTGGAACTGAACTATGCTAAATATATCATTGATATAAATTCTAACAATAATTACAATGTCAGTCCAAATTAAGTTGTCAAAACAACTTAGCAAAACAAGCATTCCTCCTTCCT